TATTTATGGCTGTGCCACGCGGCTGTGAGATCTTAGTTCCTCAGCCAGGGATCGAACCCGTGCCCCGTGCAGTGGAAGAGCAGAGTCCTAACCACTGGACCGCCAGGGAATTCCCAATAGAGACTTTTACTACAGATGGTTCTCCTCCTTAAGGAGTGTGTTGTCCAAAAGAAATGAGTACTATTGACAATTTTAAGAGGAAGTCTCTCCTTTTGTTGCTTCTGAGATGGATCTAATAAAAGCATGGAGACGCTAAGAGAAATTCAGAACTCGGAGCCTTGGGACTTCCCTGGTGGTCCAGTGGGTAAGACTCCGTGCTCCCAATGCAGGGGGCCTGGGTTCGATCCCTGGTCAGGGAACTAGATCCCGCATGCATGCAGCAACTAAGAAATCTGTATGCTGCAACTAAGAAGCCCGCATGCTGCAACAACAAAAAGATCCCGCAAAGAAGATCCTGTGTGTTGCAACTAACACCTGGCGCAGCCAAAATAAATAAAAACAAAAATCTTAAAAAAAAAAGGTGAGTCAGGCATCCACCGTCTGACTCACCTGCGTTAAGGTGATGTTTTCAAACAGCGAACCAGAAGCATATGGAACAAGCTTTTGGGATAAGACCAGGATGCAACACAGCAGGGGCGGGGCACAGGAATCAGGCTCAGGGACCACAGAACTGCCCCCCATCCCCCACACCATGAGCCCCAGGTAATCGATTCCTTCACCTTTTGTGACCAGGAACACAGGTGAATGCCGCCCTCCGAAAGTGTGCTGATGACACAGAGCCGACCCAGATGAGGGAGGAGATGCTTTGTCAGATGAGAGAACTGGTGAGGGTAACAGAAAAAAGGGAGGAGGGAAAAAAAGGGAAATGTTGTCTAGTACACCAAAACTTCCTAGAAGGCTGAAACATAATCTTAAACCTCAAGCAAAATATTTAGATTGACTTTATTGATGACTTACCCAAATATGCCTTGTTCAGTCATTCATTTGACACATTTATTCAGTGTTACTAGGTGTCTAGCTCTGGTCTAAGCACCAGAGGTTACTAGGTGTTACTAGGTGTCTAGCTCTGGTCTATGCAGTGATAAACAAGACGGGCAACCTTTGCCCTCTTTTTTTTTTCGGCTGCGCCGCGCAGCTTGCAGGATCTTAGTTCCCCTACCAGGGACTGAACCCGGGCCCTCAGCAGCGATCTTTGCCCTCGTGAGCTTACATTCTGGTGGGCTCAGGTTGCATCATCCTGGGCAGACCATTTTCTATGAGCAGGATCCTGATTCCTCCAAGTTTCTGCTCTTTGAAGTTAGGTCATAGAATCTTCTGACCCATTGCTCCAATATGGCAACTGCAGAGTACATGGAAAGGCAGGTGGATGCTGAAGAGAATTAATTAAAGGGATGATCTATGGCTTTTTGTACGAAGACCAGCCAGGTCAGAATAACTTACGTAGATTCTTGGGACATTCCTATAATTTAAGCATCACATCATGGGGCATTTTATTGTGTTTTTTTTTTTGTTTGTTTGTTTGTTTTGCGGTACGCGGGCCTCTCACTGCTGTGGCCTCTCCCGCCGCGGAGCACGGCCTCTCCCGCCGCAGGCCCAGTGACCATGGCCCACGGGCCCAGCCGCCCCATGGCATGCGGGATCCTCCCGAACCGGGGCATGAACCCGCGTCCCCTGCATCGGCAGGCGGATCCCCAACCACTACGCCACCAGGGAAGCCCTCATGGGCCATTTTAAAAGGCCAGTTTTAATTTAATTTAATTTTTCCTCACGCAAACATCAGGATGTCTTGTGCTTAAACAAGCCCCTGCCACTGCTGTGTTAAACACCACCATAATTTACTTGTTAGAATCAGGAATAATAATGAGTTTGTTTGAGTGGTAACAAAAGCCTGGACGAACTGACTCTTTTCTAATCTCTTTTTTTTTTTTTTGGCGGTACATGGGCCTCTTACTGTTGTGGCCTCTCCCGTTGCGGAGCACAGGCTCCGGACGTGCAGGCTCAGCGGCCATGGCTCACGGGCCCAGCCGCTCCGCGGCATGTGGGATCCTACCGGACTGGGGCACGAACCCGTATCCCCTAGCATCGGCAGGTGGACTCCCAACCACTACGCCACCAGGGAAGCCCCCAAACTGACTCTTTAACATGTGTTTAAGGGACCAGGCCAGGAGGCTGAGAGAAGTAACAAAAGACATTTGGGAGTGAAGGGGGCACTTGGAGGGAGGCTGGGTGGCTTAAATGACTTCAAGGTTGGGGGAGGTATCTTGTCAGAATCTGAGCGTTTCCATGTCTTTAGAAATCATCTCACTGTCTTCATTTGACAGACGGGAAAATCAGTCCAGAGAGCTTAAGTGAAAAGGCCACAGAGTTTGTAATGGCAGAACTTGGTACAGAACCCAGGTCTCCTGATTTTTGCCCAACGCTTATTCCATAGTTGACCTGTCCATTACAATCATCCATTGTACTTCATATAATGCAATTGGGATAACCAGTTTCCAGAATATTGGGCTATTTTTAGGGTCTCCAGAGAGAGCGAGAATTAATATATACTTCGGGGCATAGAACATGGTTCATGAATTCAAAATTTACTTAGTGAAAAAGGAATAAATTTATCTGTCTTTTAATTTTTGGCCCTGGTCAGTGGTTCTCAGCTGGGGAGAGTTGTCCCCCAGGGGACATTTGGTTGTGACAACTTGGGGGGGGGTCATGTTCACGGGATCTTGCGGGTCGAGGCTGGCTATACTGCTAGACAGAAACATCTTACAGTGCACAGGACAGTCCCCGCTACCACAAAGGATGATCCGGCCCCAAATGTCAGTCGTGCTGATGTAGAGAAACGCTGCGCTACAGGCCCAGGAACCAAAACGGGAGCTCAGACTGGAATCTGGACCCTGGTGGAGATGCTAAGCGGGCTGAAGAATTTGCCAGCAAAGGTATTGTTTCAAAAGGTAAGCATCTTTGGGCTCTTAAATCCATCACTTTCCCCATCCCGTTTATAATCTGGATGGTATTCGGGGCATTTGGGGCTGCTATCTCTTGCCCTCGCTCCTACTTCCCACCCCCAACATTTAAACACAACCTGCTCACTCCTGCCACGGCACAAGGCTCATCGCACCCCTAGATCCTCCAACGGGGGTTACCCCAGGGTGGGCAGCTTCCCCTCCTCGTTCTGCCAGGCACTAGCTGAGCCCCTTGAGTGCGTCTCACTTCATTTTTCTGGCTTCGGTATCCTTCCCTGTAAAAAGAGAACATGCCCACCTCCTCGGTTTGTTGAAGAGCATCCCTTCACGCTACTACTCCCACCACGAAGGCCCCTGAGCGCTCACCACGGAGCCCGCCCTGTTTCCAGTTTTATGAATCTTCTTCGGTCTCTGAGGTAGAAACTGTGAATCCCCACTCTAAAGATGGGGAAACTGAGTCTAGCCAGGGACCTGGAGTGCGGTCTCACAGCTGTGAAGGAAGGTGCCGGTCTGGAAGGCGGGTGTCTTCTCCCTGTGACCCCGCTTCCACGCCAGGCGAGGCTCTCACAGATGAGCAGGACCCAAGCCAGGGTCTGAGGAGCCCAAGGTAGGTGCGGCCTCCGCAGCGCAACACCAGTCCTCAGGCGCATGCGCGAGCGCCAGTGCGCCGGGGCCTTTGGGAGGCTGGCCAAGTGTCCCAGGCTCTGCTCTGACGCCCGCTCGGTTGTCAGGGCAACCGGGGCGTGGCGGGCCGAGAACTTGAAGGCCTAGGCTTCCTTTGTTCGTTCACAGCCTTTTACCTCAACTTGGTGACGCTTCTCCGAGTTGTTCTTTGTTGTCCCTTCGTTCATTTACTTTCCGATTGGACAGAAGCTGATTTTCTATCCCCATGACCATTAAATGACAACCACGGGCGGGCGGATCCCGGCCCAGATCGGGTGCTGGTGGGGACCACGTTGAAGATCTCCCTGTGTCCATCCGGTTCACACCCAAGTGCCATTTTTTTCTTAACTCTTTTGCTTTCGTGTACTCTATAATTTATTACCGATATCTATAATTCATCTGACTTCTCCGGCCATATCCTGCGAAGGCCAAATCACGAATCTGAATTTTGTAGAGATGACTCATTGGTGACTAATTCCATTAGGAAAGCATTCTCTGCAAAGGAATTCGCAGCAGGATTTCTTTAAATAGAAAACTTCCTCAGTGCACTCAAAACGATTCACTTTATATAAAATTCATTTAAATACAAGATCCCACCCCCCTTTTTCTGCATATAGATATAAACTGCTGTGTATGGCTGTTCATGTTGTGCCTGACTGAGACGCTGGAAAGGGGCTGAAATCCAGCCTAGGCTGTGTTCCTCAAGTTGAAGGACAGTGCATCTTATTCTAATTCTGTTAGAATGGATGCCTTTTTCATGGAAACTTTGCATGAAGTTTGCATCCGCGCCAGCTACCTTCCTGCACATAATAATTTTACCGTAATTAGTTGCATGGCTTTTAGCTTTATGGAATGTTTATAACAAGCTTTTATAGTATGTCATTCCATTTCATTCATGCCACAGACTTTGTGTGGACTCAAGTCTTTGATTAAAATTAAACAGGGCAAATAAGGTCATGTAGGATTGGGTATTGTAAGGTCGGATCTTAACAAACGGCACCGTGAAACAGAGGAAAGCTTCAAGTGAGCTTTATTAGGGAGCGCTCCCGGGCGAGGTTCACTGGTCCGAGAGAAAGGGGCCGGAGAAGTCGCACCCGGGCGAGGGTTGGGCAAGATTTTATAGGGGAAGAAGGGAAAGGGCTGTGGCGAATCTGGGAGGGTGCAGGGTATTCCTTATTTGGTGGTCTTTTCGGGTATCGTGGCAATATCTGGTGCCGGTTGCATCAGTCTCGGGACCGTTAGTCCCGCCCCTCGAAAGGCGGGAAGGCTGGGCCGGGTGGAAAGTCTCCAGGTCAGTTCCTGGAACTGGGTGGTCCGGAAAGTCTCCAGGTCAGTTTCTGGAGCTGGGTGGTCCGGAGAGTTTCGGTCTGATGCAACCTGTGAATCTGATTGCGTTCCCCTGCCTCGGGCCAGTTGGCCTTACAGGTATTAATTCTTTTCTGTGCTCCATCATGTCATCCAGGAACCCAGATTCCTTCCATCTTGTTGCTTCTCCAGCTCCTAGGGTCTGTCCTCAGATACACAGTAGGAGCTGGCTTGCCTCTATATCCAAGTTCCCAGCAGAAGGGGGAGGAGGAAGTCTAAGGCGAGTAGTTTTGTGTTTAAGGAGATGACCTCCAAATTGCTCTGATGTTTGCTTGAATCCCATTGGGATTCAACGTAGTCACACGGCCACACCTGACAGCAAGGGTTCCTGGGAAATGTAGTTTCTAGCTGGGGGCCATCTATACCCTTACAATTCAGGAGGTTGTATTACTTAACGGAATAAAGAGAGATTGGATGCTGGGGATTTTTTTTTTTTTTAAGTTGTGAACCTCTTGACGGTAAGGACTGGCTCATCAAATTTTTTGAATAAATAAGCAGACACATGGTAAATGTTTTGTTTTTGGTTGATGAAGAAGGGTCCTGTTATATTTGATAAGCAGCATTGCATAGTAGAGAAGCAGGGATTCCAATCCTCCCTGTGCCTCTTACTGACTGTATGACCTTGACCAAATTTTATCATTTCCTAGCCTCAGTTATTCTAAGTGTATAAAGTATCCTTTATAATATCCTTTATAATAAACCAGTAATAGTAACTAAACTGTTTTCCTTGAGTTATGTGAGCTGATCTAGCAAATTATTGAACCCAGGGAGGGGATCCTGCGAGCCCCTGATGTATAGATGGTTGGTCATAAGTACAGGAGGCCCAGGATTTGTGATTGGCATATGAGGTGGAACTGAGCCCTTAACTTTTGGCATCTGGCATGAACCCTGAGTAGTTAGTGTCAGAACTGAATTGAATTGTTGGACACCCAGCTGGTGTCCAGAGAGTTGGAAAATAGGTTATTGGTGTGGAAAAAATACACTTGGTGTCAAAAGTGTAGGTAAAAACGTCTCAGCAGTTACCTTATTTGGAAATACGGTCTCTGTAGATACAATCACGTTAAGAAGAGGTCATTAAGGGGGCTCTATTCCAATATGACTGGTGTCCTTATAAGAAGAGAGCACTGCAGAGAGAAACAGAAGAAGGCCACATGAAGACAGAGGCAGAGATTGAAATGTTGTTATCACAGGCCAAGGAAGCATGGCCATGCCAACATCTTGATTTTGGACTCTTGGCCACCAGAACTATGAGAGAATAAATGGTGTCTTAAGCGACCCAGTTTGTGGCAGTTTCTTAGAGCAGCCCTAGGAAACTAATACAATAGCAGAGCAAGGGAATGAAAGTACCTGGGTCCCGAGTGATCAAACAGAGAGCAGCTGCTATGCACAACAGGACCACTTACCTGAGGACAGTTACCTGAATAAGGTTCATACTTCTGCATTCTTTATACCGGTATGTTTTTGGGTGTCTGTTATAGCAACTTAGTTCTTTTTTACCCTGTTAATGATCTTGACAACACGGAACACTGAAGTTTCTTTCTTCCAGAAGCTGCTCTTTCACTTTCCTCCTCCTTCCTTTTTTTCTCATTCCATCTGTTTTAGAAAGCTAACTTTTTCCTCTCTTGGAATATCCCTTGTTTACTACTCTAGTTTTGTGACTGACTGCTTTTGAGTGTTGCTTTCGAGGGAGAATTGTAGAAGTTGTGAGAGATGTATGTGACAAACTTGGCATTCTGTAACACCAACCAGATTACCAGTTTTTTTTTTTTTTTGGAAGGTTTTGGAGAAAACAGCATGAATCAACCAAATTATTTGTAAGTAAAATTAGAGTAGTTTCAAGCTGTCACTTTTCTCTGCCCTACACACATTATTTGAATAAGTTGGCAGGAGAATGGTGTTTGAGTTTGTGTTAGGGAATCATGGGGATACAAACCTGGGTTTAAAGTAGTGAAATTTAAAGGGGAAAATACTTTAATTCTTAGAGGCAGTATAGTGGAGTCATCAAGAAGGCAGACTCTGGTGCTGGGCTGTCTGGTTGAAGGCTTATCTCAACCATTTCCTGACTGTTAGACCTTGGGAGAACACCTTAATTTCTGTGCCTCATTTTCCTCATCTGTTAAATGGGGATTGTCCTAGTTTGGGTCCCCTTGAGACAAGGACTTGGGATCAGGTTGTATATTTGGAAGGCGTCAAAGAAAAATTGCACTGGACAGTGGTAAACAAGCAAGGAAGGGCTTCCCTGGTGGCGCAGTGGTTGAGAGTCCGCCTGCCGATTCAGGGGACATGGGTTCGTGCCCCGGTCCGGGAAGATCCCACATGCCGCAGAGCGGCTGGGCCCGTGAGCCATGGCCGCTGAGCCTGCGCGTCCGGAGCCTGTTGCTCTGCAACGGGAGAGGCCACAGCAGTGAGAGGCCCGCGTACCGCAAAAAAAAAAAAAAAAAAAAAAAAAAAAAAAAAAAAAAAAAAAAAAAACAAGCAAGGAAGATTTCATTCAAGACTATGGAAATAGGGGAGAGAGAATGACCTCAACTCCTAATACAGCAGGGGCAGCTGGGAGGTTATAACCAATGGGTAGGGTGGGGGAATCAGTGGATGGACAGTTACTAAGGGGAACTTGGTTATGTGTCAAGTGTGGGGAGATTCTTGCTCAACTGGGCTCAGAAGGACAAGAACAAGGGCTGGCCAGAGAGAGCTCAGAGGAGCCCAACTAAGGTTTGGCCAAAGAGAGGGGTCCTTGTCAGAAGTGACCCCAGGGAGCATGAGTGAGGAGACTATGACCAACAAGGGGGAAAAGCCAAGATAAGGTGTGTTATTGCGGTCACTGCTGTGGGCCACAGGGTAGAGATTCCTCCTAACAATGTCTGTTTGAAAGCTGAAGGCAGGAACACTTATCCACTGGATCAGGTTCTCCATCGGTTGAAGGCCAAAACCTGAAGCCTGTCTTTTTAAACTTTTTATTTTGAAATGATTTTATTTTTTTTAATTTTTAAAAATTTATTTATTTTTATTTTTGGCTGCGTTGGGTCTTTGTTGCTGTGTGAGGGCTTTCTCTAGTTGGGGCGGATGGGGGCTACTCTTCGTTGCGGTGTGCGGGCTTCTCACTGCAGTGGCTTGTCTTGTTGCGGAGCATTGGCTCTAGGCACGCGTTCTTCAAGTAGTTGTGGCACATGGGCTCGGTAGTTGTGGCGCACGGGCCTAGTTGCTGCGCGGCATGTGGGATCTTCCTGGACCAGGGCTGAAACCCGTGTCCCCTGCATTGGCAGGTGGATTCTTAACCACTACGCCACCAGGGAAGCCCTGAAATGATTTTTGATTTACAGGAAAGTTACCAGGAGAGTACAGAGAGTTCTTATATACTTAACTCTGCTTCCCTGAAGGTTAACATCTTATATAACCAGAGATTTATCAAAAGTAAGAAATCAACATTTGCAGAATACTGTTAACTCAGCTACAGCCTTTCTTAGGAATTCACCAGGTTTTCCACTAGTGAAAGCTTTATCTGGACCAGGAACCCATCCAGGACAGCACATTTCATTTAGTGTCACATCTCCTTTGTCTCTTCCAGTCTGTGACAGTTCCTCAGTCTTTCCTTATCTTTCATGATCTTAACATTTTTGAAGCATTCTGGCCACGTATTTTATAGAATATCCCTCCTGATGTTTCCTCAGAATGAGGTTATGCATTTATTTTATTTTATTTTACAAGTGCTTGTAGAAATAGGATTATAGTTCTACACCCAGAAAATCAGTTAAAAACGTTATGGTAGAAAATGGCCATCACCAAAAATATCTACAAATAATAAATGCTGGAGAGGATGTGGAGAAAAGGGAGCCCTCTTGCACTGTTGGTGAGGATGTAAATTGGTGCAGCCACTATAGAGAAGAGTATGGACGTTCCTTAAAAAACTAAAACTAGGGGCTTCCGTGGTGGGCCAGTGGTTAAGACTCCACACTTCCACTGCAGGAGGCATGAGTGAGATCCCTGGTTGGGGAACTAAGATCCTGTGGGCAGCCAAAACCCAAAAAAACAACCCCCCCCCAAACCTAGAGTTACCATATGATTCAGCAATCCCACTCTTAGGCATATACCCAGAAAAGATGAAAACTCTAATTTGAAAAGATACATGCACCCCAATGTTCATAGTAGCATTATTTACAATAGCCAAGACATGGAAGCAACCCAAATGTCCATCAACAGAAGAATGGATAAAGAATATGTGGTATATATACATAATGGAATACTACTCAGTCAAAAAAAGAAGGAAATAATGCCATTTGCAGCAACATGGGTGGAGCTAGAGATTATCATACTAAGTGAAGTAAGTCAGACAGAGAAAGACAAATGTCATATAATATCACTTATATGTGAAATCTAAAAAAATGATACAAATGAACTTAATTATAAAACAGAAATAGATTCACAGGCAAAGAAAACAAACTTAAGTTACCAAAGGGGAAGGCTGGGGGAGGGAGGGATAAATTAAGAGTTTTGGATTAACATATACACGCTACTACATGTAAAAGAGATAAACAACAAGGACCTACTGTATAGCGCAGGGAACTATATTCAATATCTTGTAATAACCTATAATGGAAAAGAATCTGAAAAAGAATATATAAATATATATACCTATATATATTTATATCTGAATAGCTTTGCTGTACACCTGAAAGTAATACAACATTGTAAATCAACTGTACTTCAATTAAAAAAAACACTGTGGTAAAATAGGTATAGCATAAAATTTACCATTTTAACCATTTTAAGTGCTCAGTTTAGTGGCATTAAATACACGCACATTGGGAGTTCCCTGGCCATCTAGTGGTTCGGATTTGCTGCTTTCACTGCTGTGGCCTGCGTTCAATCCCTGATCGGGGAACTGAGATCCTGCAAGACTTCAGCAGGGCTGAAAAACAACAAACAAACAAACAAACAGAAACCCCTCTGAAAACAACAACAAAAAACCCCACTCACATTGTTGTGCAGGCGTCCTCACCATCCATCTCCAGAGCTCTTTTCATCATCAAACTGAAACTCTGTCCCCGGTAAATACTAACTGCCCATTCCCCTCTTCTACAACCTCTGGCAACCATCATCTACTTTTTGTCTCTATGGATTTGACTGTTCTAGGTATGAGGTTACGCATTGCTGGCAGGAATTCATAGAAGTGATGTTGTATTGTCTTTGTTTTAAGTCTGTTTGGACTGCAGTAACAAAACACCATAGATGGGGTGGCTTAAGCAACAAACAGTTATTTCTTACAGTTCTGGAGGCTGGGAAGACCGAGAACAAGGGATGGGCAGATCTGCCATCTGGTGAGGGCTTCCTGGTTCAGAGACGGCATCTTCTTGCTATGTCTCCACATAGCACAAGGGTTGAGGGAATGATCTGGGGTCTGTTTTATAAGGGCACTAATTCCATTCATGAAGGCTCCATCCTCATGACCTAATCACCTCCCGAAGGCCCCACCTCTTTTTTTTTTAAAAAAACCACATTTATTTATTTATTTATTTTTGGCTGCGTTGGGTCTTCGTTGCTGCGTGTGGGCTTTCTCTAGGTGCAGCCAGCGGGGGCTACTCTTCGTTGCGGTGCACGGGCTTCTCATTGTGGAGCACAGACTCTAGGCGCATGGGCTTCAGTAGTGTCACGCCGGCTGAGTAGTTGTGGCTCGTGGGCTCTAGAGCACAGTCTCAGTAGTTGTGGCGCGTGGGCTTAGTTGCTTTGCAGCACGTGGGATCTTCCCAGACCAGGGCTCGAACCCGTGTGCCCTAAATTGGCAGGCGGATTCTTAACCACTGAGCCACCAGGGAAGCCCAAAGCTCCACCTCTTAATACCATTCCATGGGCACTTAGACTCTTAACATATGAAATTTGGAAGGACACAGACTTTAAGTTTATGGCAGTCCTTTTGATTATATCCTGTTAGGGAACATGTGATGTGGTATGTTGATGTTAACCGTGACAAGCTGCACCCCAGGGGTCTTCAACCCCACACTTTCCTCCAGCCTGCAGGGTTGGAGAAGTCTGGATTAAGTGAAAAGATGTGTGGCATAGTCTTGAGATGGGACACAGTCAGCAAGAGGTCACGTGAAGCTGGCAGGAACTGTGCCTTGAGGCTGAAAGCAGAAGGGGCTGAAAGAAAGGGACATGTAGCACTAGAGGGTCTACTGCAGAAAGGATGACAAAACAGCCCATCAGCTCCCAAGAGTATGCTCAAGAGTAAATAGATTAATATGGTACTTGGTACATAGCAAGCTCAACAAGGGTGTTAGCTGGGCTTCCCTGGTGGCGCAGTGGTTGGGAGTCCGCCTGCCGATGCCGGGGATGCGGGTTCGTGCCGCGGAGCGGCTGGGCCCGTGAGCCGTGGCCACTGAGCCTGCGCGTCCGGAGCCTGTGCTCCGCGGCGGGAGAGGCCGCGACGGGTGAGAGGCCCGTACAGCCAAAAAAAGCAAAAAACAAAAAAACAAACAAGGGTGTTAGCTACTACTACAAGATGCCAACTCTGGGGCAGTATCTGTCCGAGACTGTCAAACTGTGGACTCCACCAGCTTACCCAGTGGCAGCACCTTCATTTCTTGGCATTTCCTAAGACCAAGAAGCTAAGCAGTCCCAGTAGCACTGAGACCAAACATTCTGTGTCTCTCAAGAAATATTTCAGAAACCAACAAAAGTAACATGACTGAAGCTGGAGGACTTAGGTAACTTCAGCTTCTGCTCCTGCCTTGTAGTGAGTCTATTCTCCATACAGCAGCCAGAGGGAGCCTTTGTTTTTCCTTTTAGCAAAGTTTTCACATTTGTGTATCACTTATTTTTTTTGCTTTAAAAAATTGAAGCGAAGTTCACAAAACATAAAGTTAACCATTTCGATATGAAGAATTCAGTGGCGTTTAGTACATTCACAGGGTTGTGCAACTGTAGGCAGATAAGGTAGGGGTCCCCAGAGAAAGAGAACCAGACATGGCTTTCTTTTCTTTTCTTTCTTGGTGACGCCTCCCCGGTATGTGGGATCTTAGTTCCTCAACCAGGGATCGAACCTGCACCCACTGCATTGGAAATGCGGGGTCTTAACTACTGGACCTCCTGGAAAGTCCCAGGCATGGCTTTTTTTTTATATTTATTTATTTGGCTGCGCCAGTTCTTAATTGCGGCTTGTGGGATCTTTAGTTGTGGCATGTGTGTGGGATCCAGTTCCTTGCTGGGGATCAAACCCGGGCCCCCTGCATTGGGAGTGCAGAGTCTTAACCACTGGACCACCAGGGAAGTGCCCAGGACTGGCTTTCCTGACATGTGAAGCCATTTCCGGCCTAAGCCATTTTGTGATCTAAACCTGGACACAGTGCTTGCCCCTTGAACACGTCTCAGTAATCAGTGATCTTCAGGGAAGTGAGGGAATGCAGGAACACAGGAAAAGCAGTCAAGAAACAATAGTTCGGTGATAGAACAGAGTCCTAGTTCCTCCTCGAGGGTATACATAAAAACCTGAGGGCTTCCCTGGTGGCGCAGTGGTTGAGAGTCCGCCTGCCGATGCAGGGGACATGGGTTCGTGCCGTGGTCCGGGAAGATCCCACATGCCGCGGAGCGGCTGGGCCCGTGAGCCATGGCCGCTGAGCCTGCGCGTCCGGAGCCTGTGCTCCGCAACGGGAGAGGCCACAACAGTGAGAGGCCCGCGTACCGCAAAAACCCCACAAAAACCTGATACGTGTCTTTGAGTTCTGCAGGAACTAAAGCTCCCACCCAGGTGGAGGATGGCATGATGATGTTGACCCTCGCGACTCAGGCAACTAAAGCTTGGACTCTGTCGACCTTTGCTCCAATTCTATGCTGAGCTCTCCTCTGCTCAAGCCCCTTCATGAATACGCACGTACCCTTAGCTTAAAACCTCCCCAATATTGCTGTTTGGGGAGACACTGCTTTGGGAAATATCCCCAGTGTTCCCCTTACTTGCTGCAGGTAATCAATCCTTCCTTCTTCCCATCTTTGGCTTTGTTGTGCCTTTTAGCTCAATAGCCTACCAAGAGGCAAACTCAGTTTTTGGGTAACACAACCATCACCTCTATCTAATTCCAGAATATTTTCATCACTCTAAAGGAAATTCTGTACTCAGTAATCATGAATTGAATGTAATAGCCAGAACCCCCATAATATTGGAGTTACTTGGAAGGTTTTTTTATGCCTTGTGTGGGGCTGCACCCTCTGTCATGCCCTTATATTACTCCACTTTGCTTTTTCCCCACTTCTCATTTAGGTGCAAGCTGAGTAAACAATCAATTAAATCACTCACTGATTTGTTTGTGGACAATCATTTATTTTGTGTCAGGTGCTGGACCAGATGGTGAAGCTACAGGGATGGAAAAACTTGCCCTTGCCTCAAGGTAGTTACACTTGATAGAGGAGGTGAAGCAATTCAGGCATGGTAAGTATCAGAGGCTGGCAAACTATGGCCCCAGGGCCAAATCTGGCCCTCCACCTGTGTTTGTAAGTAAAGTTTTATTGGAACACAGACATGCCCATTTGTTTACCTATTGTCTATGGTTACTTTCATGCTACAAGGGCAGAGCTGAGTCATTTCGAAAGAGACCATTTGACCAGAAAAGCTGAAAATATTTACTTCCTGGTCCTTTAAGAAAAAAAGGCTCATCAACCCTTGGTATATATAATTATGGCAAATTTAAAGTGTGGACAGAGAGTCTTGGAAACTGAAGAAGAGCAGCTAGCTGGGGGTGGGAACAGTTGCAGTGGTAGGAAAGGCTTGCTGGTGCTATAACTTAGATCCATAAATGGATAAATCTTAAGCACACAGCTCGATGAATTTTTACATTTGTATACACCCAAGTCACCACTACTAGCTTCCAGAGGTAGGACATTTCCAGCTTCTCGGAGGCTCTCAAAATCATTGGTGTAAAGGACACTGTGTCGTAAGTCGCTTCATCCAGCTTTTCGTTTGCACTCTCTCCTGCTATGTCCTTCCAACTTGCTCGCCTCACTGCTGCCTGGAACTCCGTTGGCGGATGCTTCGGATCGCATGTGTCTGAAAGGCTTGGAGTCCCTGTGGTTCTCACCAGTTGGGCTTCGAACTGCATTACCCATTCTGGCGCATGACACCCACAGGAGGGTACAGGAAATCTGTCGCCGTACCCAGATATTAGACGTTGTCTCCGAAAGAGTTCTTTTATTTACCCTTTCCGTCTAATTTGCTCCACGAATGTGACTTTATTCACAAATCCTACCTGGATTTTGATTATTAATTTTTTTCTAACATTTGGAAAGAATGTCAGCCTTACAAAATAAGTTGCCAAAATAGCAGAAGAAATTCCATTCCTAGGTATACACCCCAAGGAACTGGAAAGAGGTACTTTGGAAGCAAAAACTTGTACACAAATGTTCATAGCAGCATTGTTCATAACTGCCGAAAGGAGGGAACTACCCAAATATCTATCAATGGGTAAATAGATGAACGTTGTGTATCCACACAATAGAAAATTATTCAGCCATAAAAAGGAATGAAACACTGTCTTGTGGGGGGAATGCTTTGAGATTCTGCAAATATCCTATTTCTCAGCAAACTTTTGACCACTAATTTTAGTATCTAATGATGGTTCTTGCCTGAAACAATTATTATCGCCTCCCTGGATTAAAAAAATTGTGGCAAAATAGGCATAACATAAACTATATCATTTAAGCCGTTTTTAGTATACAGTTCAGTGACATTAAGTACACTCCATCCCCATCACCACCATCACGTGCACCTGTCACCGCTCTCTATCTCCAGAACGCTTTCATCCTCCCAAACTGAAGCCCTGTACTCATGAAACAGTAACTTCCTATTTCCCCTCCCCTCAGCCCCTGGCGGCCACCACTTTATTTTCTGTCTCTATGAACTTGACTATTCTAGGGACCTCATATAAGTGGAATCAGGCAACATTTGTTCTTTTGTGTCTGTCTTATTTTGCTTAGCATAATGTACCTGGATTTTTAAGATGAGAAATTGTATTTTTCTTCCCGCTCTTAGAATGAGCACAGGTGTTATGGGTTGGTCCCTAGGTATGAACTCATATCAGGAGGGTTTTCCAAGTTTTTTCATGTCTTCTTAGCAACTCTGCTCTTCTGAATATCTCCAATACCTTTACCCACAAGTTGGAAGAAGAGAAATAAGACAGGTAGAGATAGAGGGAAACATTTATTTACTTTCTCTATAACTTTTTTTTTTTTTTTTTTTCGGTACGCGGGCCTCTCACTGTCGTGGTCTCTCCCGCTGCGGAGCACAGGCTCCGGACGCGCAGGCTCAGCGGCCATGGCCCACGGGCCCAGCCGCTCCGCGGCATGTGGGATCCTCCCGGACCGGGGCACGAACCCGCGTCCCCTGCATCGGCAGGCGGACTCTCAACCACTGCGCCACCAGGGAAGCCCCTTTCTCTATAACTTTTAATTAACTATTTTCAGAATAGAACCAAATACTTCTCCTTTTGCCCTGGGATGAGTTAGTGATTTGAAATGGCTTTCTTTTCCCCAAATCCCAATTCTTCTTTTTTTGTCTCACTGTGACTATAATTTGTGGTCTGTCTGTAGCATTTGACATCATGACCACTCTTCGTCTTTAAACGTGTTCTCTGCCATTGTGTCTTAGTTTTGTTTTTCTGATAGTTTATTTGGAAAGTGGCTTCAGGAAGTAGTAGCAGAGAAGCTGGGAGAGGGAGACAAGTAAGAAGGGAACCCCAATAAAGGTTGCATTGTTGAGCTGGTTATCACTGCGGGCACATGGTGAAGAATACACCTCAATATGGGCCCTGTGTAGGAGGGAGTTTGGGACATTCATCCACTGACTCCGTTTCTCCATGGGCTCAGAGTTTCCTCCTGTGGGCTTAATCTCCCCTGTACTCCTGGGCTGCACCTGCACTCAGAGGAGCCTTCTGTAGCTTAAGAAAATCTCTGAGGCAGCAAAAGGAGTTATCATGGAGTGTACTTGAGGTGGGAGGCATTGTGGATGCACAGAACTTATGCCGCTTCTGTGTTGAAATCAGAGGTGGGCTAAGGGCATGGGACATGGGGCAAAAAAGTGTCTGCCTTGGGTTTTCAATTTACTATCTGTGCAGGGTTGAGTAGTGTCCCCTCAAAAGTCATGTCCACCTGGAACCTCAGAATGTGACTTTATTTGGAAATAAAGTCTTTGCAATGTAAATAGTTAAGTTGAGGTCATCCTGTATTAGGATAGGCTTCGTATTAGGGTTCTCCAGTGAAACAGAACCAATAGAACTTCTGTCTGTCATCTATCTATGTATCTGTGTGTCTATCCGTGTATCTGTTTCCATTTATTTCAGTCTTTATAAAATTCTTTTAATGGAAAAAATTTCAATTCCCTGGAAGACTATAAAAGGCACCTGGAACAGTTCTTTGCTCAAAAAGATAAAAAGTTTTGGGAAGATGGAATTTTGGAGTTGTCTGAAAATTGGCAGAAGGTAGTGGAACAAAATGGTGAATACATTGTTCAATAAAGTTCTTGGTGACTTATTTTTACTTAAAAACCAAAGGAAATTTTTGGCCAACCCAATATTTATCTATGTATCTATCTGTGTATCTAGTTATCTAACTATGTAGCTATCTATGTATCTATTTCTCTATCTATCTACCTCCATCTCCATTTCTTTCTCTATATAGCTACATACATCTATATCTATATATATTTGAAGAGCTTTCCTCCCCTCCCCCTCCCTCCCTCCCCTCCCCCCAACCCTCTGCTCCCTTCCTCTTCCCTCCTCCCCCTCCCCCTTCCAAAGGTACATCCAGAAATAAGGTTAAACCTTATAAATTTTTAAAAAACAACTAAAAAATAAAATAAATTTATTTATGGCTGCATTGGGTCTTTGTTGCTGCGCATGGGCTTTCTCTAGTTGTGGCGAGTGGGGGTTACTCTTCGTTGCGGTCTGTGGGCTTCTCATTGTTGTGGCTTCTCTTGTTGTGGAGCACAGGCTCTAGGCACATGGGCTTCAGTAGTTGTGGCACGTGGACTCAGTAGTTGTGGCTCATGGGCTTAGTTGCTCTGTAGCTTGTGGGATCTTCCCGGACCAGGGCTCAAACCTGTGTCCCCTGGACTGGCAGATGGATTCTTAACCAATGTGCCACCACGGAAGTCCCTCTATTTTATATATAGTAGTGTGTATCTGTTAATCCCAAATTCCCAATTTATCCCCTCCCCTGACCTTTCCACTTTGGTAACCATACGTTTGTTTTCTATGTCTGTGTTTACTTCTGTTTTTGTTTGTTTGTTTTTTGCTTTTTGTTTTTTTTGGCTGTGTTGGGTCTTCATTGCTGGGCGCAGGCTTTCTCTCTAGTTGCAGCAATCAGGGGCTACTCTTCGTTGCCGTGCGTGGGCTTCTTATTGTGGTGGCTTCTCTTGTTGCAGAGCATGGGCTCTAAGCATGCGGGCTTCAGTCGTTGCAGCATGCGGGCTCAGTAGTTGTGGTGTGTGGGCTCTAGGGCACGTGGGCTTCAGTAGTTGTGGCACACAGGCTTAGTTGCTCTGCGGCATGTAGGATCTTCCCAGACCAGGGATCAAACACGTGTCCCCTGCATTGGCTGGCTCACGGGCCCAGCCGCTCCGCGGCATGTGGGATCTTCCCAGACCGGGGCATGAACCCGTGTCCCCTGCATCGGCAGGCGGACTCCCAACCACTGCGCCACCAGGGAAGCCTGGCAGTCAGATTCTTAACCACTGTGCCATGAGGGAAGTCCCGAATACTGTCTTGTTGTTGTTGTTGTTTTCTTTTGACCATGCTGCACTTCTGTTTTGTAAATAAGTTCATTTGTATCATTTCTTTAAGATTCCATGTATAAGTGATATCATATGATATTTGTCTTTCTCTTTCTGACTTATTTCACTTAGTATGATAATCTCTAGTTCCATCCATGTTGCTGCAAATGGCATTATTTCCTTCTTTTTTATGGCTGAGTAATATTCTATTGTGTGTGTATGTATATACATATATGTGATATATATATATCACATTTTCTGTATCCATTCATCTCTTAGCAAGACCTTTCTTTCTTTTTTTTTTTTTTTGTGGTATGCGGGCCTCTCCCTGTTGTGGCCTCTCCCGCTGCGGAGCACAGGCTCCGGATGCGCAGGCTCAGCGACCATGGCTCACGGGCCCAGCCCCTCCGCGGCATGTGGGATCTTCCCGGACCGGGGCACGAACCCGCGTCTCCTGCATCGGCAGGCGGACCCCCAACCACTGCGCCACCAGGGAAGCCCTGCAAGACCTTTCTTGATTGGGTCTGGATTAGCTCTTCAACTTCACTTCCTGCTGCCACTCATGCCTACCCTAAGGGCAAGCCACAGCCAAATCTGTGCTGTGTTCTTCATGGCTGTGGGCCTTTA